TTCTATTTGCTATCCTGCATGGGCACAGTGGTTCTCTGCCTCAGTTTCCCCACTAGTGCAGCAGGATTAGTGCTCAGTAGCATGTTTTCAATCTTAATAAATCAGGGCCAGATTTCATGGTCATTTATCAACCAAAATTTCCTTTGACTTTGACTTTTAGTGTTTATTAAAAGCTTTGAAGATAACCACCAACTTATTATTAATAATCTTCTTGGGAGTAGAAGTTACAATCAGTTAGCAGCATGCAAGCCACCAGCCCCTGCTAGGATTTCTTCTGTGCTAACAAATCCAGATTTTCAGGTGTGTTTTTCTAACAACATTCTTGTTTTCCCAACCATTTTTTTTGAGGGAAACTTTTTCCCTGCACCTTTAAAAAAACAAAATCTGATCAAATTTGCCTTTCTCAAAACACTGAACATTCCCTTTCTCATCTACCTAAACCTGATGTTGAGTTACGGTCCCCCAGAGGCTTTCAGTAGCTCAGTTCTGATGTATCCCTGCACTTTGTAGCTCACTGCCTTCTTAGAGTGTAATCAAACATCAAGCTAAGTAGCAAATAAATCTCCCGATCTCATAAGCTGCACAGCAAGATCATGTAAATGCAAATGAAGGGCTTGATTTCAAGCTGTCGCGGGGGGAAGGAGGGAAAAATGCTGGGCCTTGTCACCACAATCACTTCACTCTGCAAGTGCAGTAAATCTGCAATAATAATAGTAATGGCAGCGTGACGGGAGGCTTTACTGTACAAGGGGGTGTAATGAAAAGGGGAACAGAAGGCAGGGAAGGAAGCAGGGCCTGGTGGGCTGAAAATGCACTGGCACAGGGTTTGCAGGCGTCTACAGAGCAGAGCTGCTGAGGCGGGGACGGGGCAGCTCTGGCTGAGTGGGAGCAGAGAGGATTCATGGATTTGCACAGCATCCCCTTGCAGTGAAGGGCTGCCTGAGATGCAGGGATTAAAAACCCATGCCTCCATCTCCTGCTGTACCTCCCTGCACAGACACATCTCCTACCCCTCTTGCAGTCTCAGTCATCTTTAGGAAATTGATGTAATTTTGTCGATGGGCCACAAATATCAAGGGATGAAATACAAATAAGTCTTGCAAAAAAAAAAATATTTGGAATCCTTAAAGGTTTTGTACTTCCTTACACCTCTGCAGCACATCCACCTCTTACAAACAGAGCCATTTCCAAGCACTCCTCTTCTTTCTCAGCAAACATTTCCAACACCATTACACACTCAAATACAAATCCAGGGCTCAAACCAGGGGCTGCAAGAATTGGAAACTGCCTGGCAAAGGCCAAGGAGCTCAATACACCTAACACCACTTGCTCTTCAGCCAACCAGGGTCTCTCCATTGATCAAACACCTCACCACTGCAGCACAGCAATCTGAACACATCACCCTCCAAATCCAGTACAGACGCACCTGGTTCAGCAATGAAAATATCTGTGTCCATGGGGAAAGGATGCATTAGCCAAGTCCTTAAAGACAGTTTGAGAGAGCAAACAAAGCCTCAGCACATGTCTCTGCAGCCCTGGTAGGACGTGATGATCTCTGCAGGATGCTCTGGGAATGCTTCAGGAAAAAGTCTAGAGTTGAATTTTCAGAATGGGCTGGATAAACAGCATTTAAGATGCTGGATTTTCCTTGCTGAGGTCGTAAAGGGAGAAAACTTACAGAAGGTACCCAGAGAAAATTAGGACCGCCTGGGATGCAGAGAGAGACGGTTTTAATTAGAGCCAAGAGGTGGGAAATAAGGCAGAGAAATGACATCTTAATGAGGTTTAATGAAGTTGTCTGCTGATGGGCACAGCTGTCAGACAGATCTGTATTCCAGCCAAGCAGCTTTGTGACAGGCTAAACCTGAACACAAGAAAGGGTGCTGGAGCTTGGGAAGAGAAAAGGACCTTCTGCAGCAACTTTGGCTTGCTCTCCCCACAGCTTTACAGCACAGCACACCTACAATGCCCCAGGACAAACTAATGAAACCAGCCCATGAGGTTGCAACAGCATTTCACTCATTTATGAATGAGAAAGGCTGTAATCTTGGATTACACTGAG